TTTCTATAGTGCGAATCAGTTTTTTGGTACCAGACGGAAGACCAAATATTAGTTGTCCAAAATTGCTCATTAATGAGTCACACAATCGTTAAAATCGTTAAAAATAAGTGACGTTTCGGTTTATTGTCTCTAAACCATTATCAAACAAGTCGTTCACGAATCGAAAAACACAGTACCAGATGCAGTTGTTTTACATAATACATGACAAAATGTCTCGTGAATAGGGGTAAGACCACTTCTTTTAGACATATACACAAAAATACCTATCACCTAAGAAGGAATTGCGCAACGTAAGGGTGAGTAGACTAGTCACATACAAGGCTAATCACACGGACACATCGTTCTTGACGTCCGGATTAGCGCCACAGGCCTAGTGTGACACATGAGTTGACCTGTTTGTTGAGTGTTGGTGTGTGCTGTCTAATGAGTAAGGCTTCAGCAATGAAGAGTCTATATTTGTTGTGTTCTGTTTTGATGATGTCTGTGTTTTCTGTGAGATGTTTTCTGGTGAGTGTTGTGTGGTGTTCTTGGTTCATGTGCTGTTTGGGGGCCCCATCCCTCAAGTGCATGGTGAGGCGTCGCGAAAGTGACGTAGTTGTAGCACCGATGTAGCTTATATCTCGAAGCCTACAATCTTCGAAAGGACAAGAAAAACGATAAACTACATTGGTGCACTTCAATTTGTCATTTTTGCTGTGTGTGTTGTTTCGTATGAGCAGGTCTTTTGTCTTACTATTCCTGTAGTAAATGACCAATAGTAAACGGTCATTCTCGTCAATGCATTTTACATGGCCATATATGATGTCTCTAATAACTCGCTCGTCTATTTTATATGCAGTTGACATCTGGTTGCGGTAGAAAATTCGGATTTTTCTACCGCTGTTCGTCCCGTTTGTCCCGTTTGTGTCGTCCGTCCCGTTTGTCCCATTACTCTCATTTGTCCCGTTTGCACCGTTCGTCTCATCTGTCCCGTTTGTCATGTTACCTTTTTCGATCTCCCTGTCCAGGTAAGTTCTGATTTCGTCATCTATCTCTTGGTTTGAATATCCATTGTTAACTAATATCTGCTTAATCCTAGTGAATTCTACATGTAACAAATTAGAGACAGAGACATGTAACAATTAGAGACATCATATATGGCCATGTAAAATGCATTGACGAGAATGACCGTTTACTATTGGTCATTTACTACAGGAATAGTAAGACAAAAGACCTGCTCATACGAAACAACACACACAGCAAAAATGACAAATTGAAGTGCACCAATGTAGTTTATCGTTTTTCTTGTCCTTTCGAAGATTGTAGGCTTCGAGATATAAGCTACATCGGTGCTACAACTACGTCACTTTCGCGACGCCTCACCATGCACTTGAGGGATGGGGCCCCCAAACAGCACATGAACCAAGAACACCACACAACACTCACCAGAAAACATCTCACAGAAAACACAGACATCATCAAAACAGAACACAACAAATATAGACTCTTCATTGCTGAAGCCTTACTCATTAGACAGCACACACCAACACTCAACAAACAGGTCAACTCATGTGTCACACTAGGCCTGTGGCGCTAATCCGGACGTCAAGAACGATGTGTCCGTGTGATTAGCCTTGTATGTGACTAGTCTACTCACCCTTACGTTGCGCAATTCCTTCTTAGGTGATAGGTATTTTTGTGTATATGTCTAAAAGAAGTGGTCTTACCCCTATTCACGAGACATTTTGTCATGTATTATGTAAAACAACTGCATCTGGTACTGTGTTTTTCGATTCGTGAACGACTTGTTTGATAATGGTTTAGAGACAATAAACCGAAACGTCACTTATTTTTAACGATTTTAACGATTGTGTGACTCATTAATGAGCAATTTTGGACAACTAATATTTGGTCTTCCGTCTGGTACCAAAAAACTGATTCGCACTATAGAAAGAACCAACCGAAAGCTTGCTAAAGCTCACAACTCCTTGGTCTACAATGAAACATGTATCAAAGAAGATATTCTGCCAAAATATACCAATATATATATATATATATATATATATATATATATATATATATATATATATATATATATATATATATCATTCGATGCAGATTGACGAAAGGATCACGATGATGCCCTTAGTTTGTTTCTATCATGACTAATTCGAAAGTTATTCGAGAAAAAACTCTCTCCTTATCTAGCGCCGCCATTTTGACTTTTTCGACCCCTGTGACGTCATCTTTGACCTGACCTGAAAATGACCTTTGTAAAAATTGTAGACCTTGTCCGTGCGTATCCGATGCCGTTTACCGCTTGTCGCTATCTTGCTTCGTTCTCGAGATCTCAGGGGGGGGGGCGGTTATCCGCCCCCCCCCCGTCGGTACGAAGTTGGCGCAGACCCCCGTCGGTGCGCGGGATAGACTTGATTAAAAAGTCGCTCTAGATACTGAATTACCTGCCGACATAGCAGCCATGTTTTCGCATGTCTGTACTCTACAATCCTACTCGCCAGATCGGCCAGCTGCACTGCCACTGCCAGTGAGCAGACATTTTTATATACATATATATAAATTTAGTCCGAGTGGTTGAATGGGCGGATTTGAGGAATCAGAGCCCGCACTAAGCATAGCTTGTTGTTCCGACCCTGACCCTACCACCCGATCGCGCAATTCCAGTTGTATGGCAGAATTTAGTCCGAACGTTAAATATTCTTTGAACTTTGGGGAGCGAATTGCACGGCTGGTAAAATTTAAAAAGTAAAAATCAAAAGTTAAAGCCTAAAGGCCTAAAATTCAACGTCACTGACTGTGACAGACTGCTGGAAACCTGCTCCCATCTATCGGCGGTTGTCGGAACTAGAGATGTCAATTGGATACCAACTTTTTGGTATACCTACCGATACCAAACCGATACCAACTTGGTATTTGGTATTTCAATGCTAAGGCAGCGTTCGATGTCTCCCGGACGGCAAAGATTCTTTGCCGTCCAGCCAATCCCGTCCAAGGTCAGCGGGGGCTCGGCTGCGGTTATGAAACGTGATTGGCCGGACGGCGTAGAATCTTCGCCGTCCGAGAGACATCGAACGCGGGGTAAGGCTTTCGGTATTTTGTTGGTATTATGAATCCTGACTAATGTAAAAGAGGCAGCTAATTTGGTAAATAGTTGGTATTTTCCTCATTTTCCAAAGTCGGTTCGGTTTCGACTTTCGGTATTTTCTCATGGTTTTTGTTGATATTTGTTTTGGTATCGGTACATAGGCGTCGCCAGAGATTTTCGGTTGGGGGGGCAAAATCAACTTTTGTGTTAAATCTTGCCTTCCTCCAGTCGTTACTCATTCATTTTACATATCATTCAACGCGCAATGGTACGAGGAATACGATGGTGACAAGGTTTTCCTTGAAACTATGACTTGCCATTTTTTTTAAAGAAAATTCATTTTCTTTTAAATTTTTGAACAAAAAACGACCGGTAGAATCACAATGGCTGCGCTTGCCGACGCACTCTGGAGAGCCCCTGTGCAGACGCTCGTCGCTCATGATCATAAAAAAGGTTAAACGCTCAGCTTAATCGAATCACCTTGCTGAAACTTTCATTCACGCATGCATGCAGATTGCAGAGGTTCTACGTAAAATGCATAGGGCTTATCCCAGCCGCCGATTGAAGCTAAGTTGGGCTTTCGGCGTAGAGTGAATGTCGAAAGTGTGAATCGGAGGTACCTACCTAATTCATCTTTGCTCCAGTGAGAGGAGGTACCTATTTTGTTCACACGAGAGTGTGAACAAAAAGTTTCTCGTTTTTCGTGTGTAGGGAAGCGCTGCAAATGCGAAGAAAAGATGTTAAACGGAACCAAAATTTCGCACGGCATAGCGGCAAAGGACCCCTTGGCGACAGGCTTGGGACTTCCAGGCCATTTTAGGCCACTCAGGGTCAGTGTGAGCTCTCAGAGGCCTGCTTAGGATCCTGAAGATCGGTGTTGGTCACCCCAAATAGTTACGTGTATGTGGTGCTTTAGGGCTTTCCGAGCCCAAGGTGGGGCCCTCAGAAGCCAGTGTGGGCGGCGCCGCGGGCGCTAAGAGACCAGGCCTAGGGTGAGCAGGGAGCCCTCAAATAGCAGTGTGAACCTGGAGGTCTGTGTCGAATCCCTAAGGACCCTACATAGGGACATAAGAAACATGTGCTGGGACCCTCAGAGGCACACCTGAGTCGTGACCCCTAAACTGCAGGCTTGGGCTCAGCAAAATCTGTCGCCTCAAAAGCTCGGCTGAGCTATCAGAGGCCTAAGGTTCTCAGAAATATTTGAAAGCATCCTCAAAGATCCGTGTGGCCCTTCAGAGGTCCACGCATGTGTAAGGTCCTCAAAGATCCCTGTATGGGCCCTCAGAGAATATGAACACCAGTGGGACTCTCAGAGGCTTTGGGCCCTCTGATGGCTTCTTAGAGCTCAGTGGAGCTCCTTCGGAGCCTGTGTGAAAAGCAAGCAGTCATGAGCCCTGTGGCACTTGAACGGTACTTGAGTCTGTCGCAGACATTTGACGAGAGTTGAGAAAGGCCCGAAGATTGTGTCACGCTTTGAACGCAAATTTGGTATCAGCACTTCAAAAGTTATGAAAATCAGCTATAAAATGTAATAAAGAACCAACGAGGAACATGAAATGAATCACAGTATTGACACTTCCGAGTCTGGAGTCGGTGTCTTGACGATGTTGGCGACTGCGACTCCGACTCTGGCTTGAACGAGTCAGACCTCACAGGCATTCTCAGAAAGGTACCCCCCCCCCATTTTTCCCGACTCCAAAATCTCATCGGATCTGTATCGATCCCAGGGGGTGCCCGGTCCGAGGTTGGGGGGGGCAAGCTGCCCCGCTTGCCCCCCCGTGGCGACGCTAATGTATCGGTATCACGATTTTCCGTAATTGACATCCCTAGTCGGAACTATATACAGCAAACTGAGCCCAGGACCTGCTGCCACCTATCGGCGATTGTCGGAACCAGAGGCGGCTGACGGTCGAGCGACGGCCTTGGGACTGCCAGTGGCTGCTGGAAGTGTGGCGTAGTAGGTGAGAGTACCTACAGAAAGTGGAGACGGAGAAATACGGACGGCTAAGAACGACAGTACGGACAGAGGAGACGAGGTGAGGTCAGAGAGAGAGAGGGGTGACACAGACGGTCACATATCTCTGTGGGGATGAGGGGGGGGGGGGGGCTGGCTAAACAGTGTGGTCTTTGTGTGGCCTGTGGGTATTTTCCAGGGGCTCTTTCTCAGCGGCACGGTACCCGGTTGAAGGTATGGCCGAATGCTGAGCTCCAACAGTTGAACAAGCATAGATTCTGTTCTGTTCCATGCCCTAAATCTAAATACCGATGTTTATCAGCGCATCCAACATTGAGGTAATCCGCTGGGGTGAGTAGGTCACGTGACACATCCCCATCAGTCTGACGTAATCTGCTGGATAGCTTTCTGCCAGTGGTAGCTATTCAGTGTTAGGTAGTTGTAGGGGTATATCAATATAGAGTCTTGGGTGCAGGGTGAAGTGAGTGGTTGGGTTAGGTAAAGATTAGTCAGGCAGGGCTAGTTTTGGCCGGGCTAGGTGAAGCTGATAAGGAGGCCTGAGAGTTGAGACCAGGGCCTGGATGGATTATCGTGACGTTTACAACTCTTTCAATAATCAGGACATGTAAAAACATGGTAAGGAGCGTACTTATCTAAAAAAACAACGGACACTCGGCTTCAGTTTTCCTGAACGGGAAAGTCCCCCTGGCGCGGTTCGCCCCGCTGCGCGTGGGCTGGGGAAGTCCCTTTCTGCCGTTGGGCGCGACTGGCTGGCGTTTGCCATGGAGACGTCTCAGCTACCAGGATGAGGAGCTCGTCTGAGGAGTTTGGTCTGGGTCACGGCGCTATATACCGGTCAGGTCAGATTTGACCACGTATTTCCTATGTGACTTTTATCTTATTACGTTTTATAGGGGAGAGTGGGGTAAGATGCCCAGGGTGGGAAAGACGCCCCACCCCCTCTAGCGGGGAAACGAAGAATCGAACCTGGAAATTAATGTTCTTAGCGTAAAGCGGAAGCCTGCCTTGTTAACTGAACAAAAATTTGCGAAGCTCAGTTGGGCAACGGCTGGCTGGTGATTGCATGTTTTTTATTTGCTGCTTTCAAAAAATATTTTGGCGTCAAAACATTGTAAATATCAAAGAAGGTATATAATTTTTGAGTCCCTTGCTATAGTCGTGATACATTAACATGCGTGTACTGTGTCCCAAACAGTTTGTTTCAGGGTGTAGTTTTAAAGCTAACAAATTGTGCTGATTTAATGTTACTTCGGTACCTTGGGGTAAGATGCCCCCTGTCCTGATGGGGAAAGACGCCCCCTAAATCCGTAGGCTGTCCTTCAAGCAGCCCGTCAAATCATTTATTACATACTTGTGAGTTGTGATGAGAGACAAAAGCCCATCTGGGACTATTGAGAGTCCGGTACGGTCGGGTGCTCCCCATGCCGGTCTCTCGGCCCACACAGCGACTTTTTGGGCGGCATCTGACTCTGAGAGCCCTCACGACGGCCTCTGTGGGCCCCATTATTTGTTTCAGGGCCCCTCACGACATCCTTTGAGGGCTCCCACGTTGGCTCCACGGGCCGCGCTGGCATCTGAGGTCCCCACGATGGGCTCGAGGGCCCTCAAGCATCATGAAGACCTATAAGGGCCCTACAGTGGTCTCCGAACGCCACCACGGAGGCTTGTTTGGCCACGCTGGACTATGATGGCCCTAACGATGACCTCTGAAGCCCCTTACGACTACTTTTGAGGGCCCTTACGATGACGTTTAGTGTCTATTGCAGGCTCGAAGGGACTACTGATTCGTTCAGGCGATTCACGTGCCTATTTATGTCACTTATAGTGCAGGGGGCATCTTACCCAACCGCAGGGGGCGTCTTTCCCACCCTGTGGGGTAAGATGCCCCCTTTCACTTCTTCAGGAAAATGCCTAATAGCAAAAAAAGTTATCATATTTCAGGCACGAAAGTGTGATATTTTTGGAGAAAAATGATGTAGGCTTCCGTTGAAACTCCAAGTTTTGGCATTCCGATCGTCATTTTCGAATAATATATGACATAGTCAAACCCTGGGCATCTTTCCCCACTCTCCCCTAGAATCGTTATATTTATTGACGGGGTGTTATTCCTAGGGGAAGCGGGGGGAACACCGCCACTGTGGGAAACACCGCCACCCCATCTGGCGGCGAAAGTATGAACTATTAAGTGTAAAAATCCGTTATTTCCTATTAACCGCACGAAGGTAAGCGTCTTCTGATTTGTGTTCCGGTTTTTCAGTGTAATCGAAGCTCATTGTGGGCATTTAAAGAAAAATGCACATTCTCTTATAAAAATTCGATGAGTTGGGAGAACTTTTGAATGTCTTGAAGTAGAGACTCATTTTGATTTAGGTACTTGATTACATCGAAAAATAACTGATCGGCTTTGTCCAGTAAGATAGGTTTGCTTGAACCGTGTAGTACATTCTTGCCGCTGGCGATTTTTGCTTGTGATCACTTATTGGGGAACACCGCCACCCCGTGGCGGTGTTACCCCAATTGAGGTTGCGGTGTTTCCTGTTCGTAGCGTGATAAGTGATGAAATTCCAAAGACACGCTTTATTTATGTTCGTAGATGTTCCTAAGTCGGGAATAAGCAGCTTATTTGACTTTTTACTTTATATTTTTCATGCATCCCGACCAAGCACTTGCCAGCTGTATAAAACTTAAAAGTCGTGATACATGAAAACCTTTTAGGAGCATGCAAAATAAGTACCTAAAACACGTGAGCAAATGTTTAAATATTGTAACCAAGACAATAACTACCAAGAGACTTCACACATATTCTCTCATTTTGGCGAAAAGCTTAGGGGGCGGTGTTACCCCCGCTTCCCCTATGTGACTTTTATCTTAATTATTACGTTCTATACATAGAATCGTTTAAGTTATTGTCAGGATGTTAGAAAATAGCGTTGAATAGCTATAATGTCTCTTGCTGACCCCTGGTTACCTAATAGCAGACCTTATGTCAGGAACGGATAGATTAACTTTAAGAGATGTCAATCGGATACCAACGTTTGTGGTATAATGAATCCAAGCCATTGTCATCCCGGTTTGGTATCGGCTTTCCAATAATTTGGGATGAGCACCACTGATGGGTAATCCACAGCGAAGGAGGGCTGTGCCTCACCACGGCCTGTATACTGGGAAACGCGTCCATTTGGACCACGGCTCGGAGATCGGACCGGTACGGCGGGCCGTGTCTACTCCCCCCTCTCCCCCGCTCATCCCCTCTCTCTCTCTCTCTCTCTCTCCCCTCTCCCTCTCTCTCTCTCTCTCTCTCTCTCTCTCTCTCTCTCTCTCTCTCTCTCTCTCTCTCTCTCTCTCTCTCTCTCTCTCTCTCTCTCTCTCTCTCTCTCTCTCTCTCTCTGGCTCCAGTGTTGCTCTCTACCGGTGTTTCTGCTGACTGAACACACAGACACGGAGCTGATCCACGACCGAGTCAGCCGACGGAGACATGACAGTTGACACCGAGGGTCGGGTGGCCGGTGCTCGGTATCGGGGGTAGCGGGTCAGCGGGGTCAGCGGGGGGGATGGGGAGAGGTTGTGGAGGGGAGTGATACGGTGAGAGAGTTCGTGAACACCCTCTGCTCAGTTCACGGCGGGTGGGGAAAACAGACATGAAACTTCGTACGAACCAACTGTGGATGAAACTTCGTACGAACCAGCTGTGGCTCACGCACCACGCCTACACCAGCCTCTGACGTATAAAAGTAGCTCTGTAAAAGCCCCGCCAGGAGTCGTATCTCCCCCCATCCACTCGTTATGAGAGGGCCGGGGGACTGGCCAGATCAGGGCTGAGGAAAGGGGTTATTCTATACGTACCGCATCATAGTGTCTCGAAAACTTCGTTACTTTACCCGCGAGCTGCTGGATGAGCTAAACCCCCACTTTTTTCGCCGCGCTTAAAAAAAAACGGCCGCGTCGCAGGAGTGCCAAATTCTGGTTGCATGTAGGGAATATATTGAAGTTCATTGCGATGAAATTTCAAACAAATTGGTGGGGAAAATTAAGATTGAGGTTATAGTGACGTCATGACTCCTGGGTTTCCGACCAACAACGGTATGTGTTAACCCTCGCCCGTATTGGTGTTTTTCCAGCCGCGAACGTATAAAGGGGGGTCCGTTGGACCCCCCCTTGCCGTTTCGCCCCTGATCGAGCTAGAGCTTCGCGGAAAAAACGAGCGTGTTGCCCGTGACGAGAGGAAGCCGATGATACCTAATTTTATGGTCCTCGGTCATTGGCTGACCTTGCAGGTCAGGTCAATGACCTAAAAGTCGGGAAAATCGGGACCTGTTAGAACGTCGTAAAGTGTGGCTGCTACGGGTTTTTTCGGGGTGCTGATCACGAATATCACGTTCGTTTTGATCACAGATGATGTCTTCATGCATTTAGTCCAGGTCGGGTCAGGTCAGGTCAAGTCAAGCAGTAGGGGTCCTGCCGGGTATTCCTAGTAGGTGTCAACCGCCTCTGACAGCTTCGTAACATGTTACGAAGGCACCAAAACTACTTCGTAAATGTTCAAATGGTTGCTAAATTCGAATTCAGCTGCAAAAACTGGCCTAGAAACATGTAAAACTCGAAAAAGTGAACCGAGGTCATCAAAGGTCAATGACCTGACCTGACCTTCAGGTGACCTTGACACCCACCCTAACGCATGGGGGCAACATCATATCACATGTTTGAACGCTTGAAACCACGAAAAGACTGCAAACGCGCGGCTAATGCGAGCCGACATACGCCGAATCGCGATTCCGGCCAAACATGGTCTCGTAAAGTAGGTCACAGGTCAAAGGTCATTGGGGTCAGGGTCATGAAATTTTCAGAGTAGGTGTAAAATTGATTAACGCGAGGGTACTGAAAGTTTCGTCGCGATCGGCCGCTTTTTACGCGAGTTATTCGCGAAAAACCATGGGGGGGGGTCCGTTCGACCCCCCCCCCCTATACGGGCGAGGGTTAAAAAATCATAAACTCACAGAATAGCCATAGACACATGCCGTTACGACCATTAGCCTGTTTAAGGTGAAACCGTTCTCTCAGTCTTATACCGTACGTTTTCTGTTTTAGAAATGGAGACTGGACAGCTCCAAGAGAAGTTTATCCAGATGAAAGAAGAGATGGCACTTCTGAAGGAGGAACTGACACATCGTAATCAAGAGGACATTGCCCGTTTGGATGGGGAACTGACCACACTGAAGAAAAACTGCGACCACCTGAGTGAACAGGTGGTCGGACTGGAGGGAGAAGTGGCCACACTGAAGGGAAACAACGCCACACTAAAGGGAGACAACGCCACACTAAAGGGAGACAACGCCACACTGCGTCAGGAGGTGGTCCATCTACGTGAAGAGGTGGTCCGCCTGCGGCAGGCTGTGCTCGAGGAGCGCACCACTCGCCAGGTCGTCGTGGAGGAGCTGCGGCAGGAGGTTCGCCGGCGAGCGGCGCCATCCGACCGTTCGCAGAGGTGAGACTGAGAGGCAGCAGGGGTGGCACCAGGGGTTAGTCGATGAGATGACACTAGGGGCAAATACCTAGTAACAGGAGGTCGGCTTTGGTTGCAGGATATGACGCTGGGCGTAGACAGTTGGTCTGTAAAACTCAAACCAGCTGTACGGATAGTCGGTCAGTAAGACTTAACCGGTTGTGAAGACAACTTTCTGTAAGAGTGACTGTTGTGTGATCAGTTTGTCAGTAATAGTAGTTATACCTTATTTTGTGGATAGTTTGTCTTGTCTGTGAGGCTGTGAGGCAGCAAGGATGGCACTGCAGGTTGGAAATGGGGGATGAACACTGCATGGGCTCACGTGGATTGATGGTACGGGGCTGTCTCGGAAGAGAAGACGTCTGGAAATTATATCCCAATGACTGACCTCTGATGACGTCACACCACGTCATACTGACGTCATTTCGCCACAGTGACGACGAAGAGCCTCGCGAACTGACTTCACTGAAGGACAACAATTATGACAAGTGTGACGTCACAACCCAAACTGCGGAGGAGGCGCTGCCGGTAGGCGGTAGCTTGAGGCCGCCCGCGCCTCGCGAGACCAACATCTACCACCTGGACACCGAGCTGCTGAAGATGGTGATGAGCAAGATGGACTGCAGGGACATGTTTCGCGCCAGGCGGGGTGAGTGTCCTGGCGACTGGCGAGGTCGTGTGTCACAATAACTATTATCCGAGTCGATGTGGTGTGTTTCCTTAGCCAACTGAGAGTTCAGCAAGTTGGAAAAGTCTGGGTGGATATATAAACGCCGATGAAGGGCTTGGAGCTATGTGAATTCCGGTTGCCATTATATGGAATATCGATGTTATATTTTATAGAATTTCTAACGCTGCCTGTATTTATGACCATGAATTAATCATAACCATGAAGGTCGGTCGGATTGGTCGGACGTGTTTTGCAGCGCTCCTGTTTTTTGGTTATTTAATGCGGATATGGTAATCGGTGTAATATCAAATTGGTATGCTCTGAAAGAACATTAATTGTAGTACGCGATTGTACTAGAATCATACCGATTTAGTGGATTCTAAGCTGCTTAATCAGCGTTTAACTCGTTAAAAATTTTGACTTAAATCGCTTGGCGTTGATTTTCCTAGCCTTGCGAAAGTCGTGATTGGCTCTTGATTTTTCGTTGCAATTCTCGTGTTTTGCACGACAGAGCCCGTATGAAGCAAACCTCGACAGATAAAATACTGAAGAAATGAGCAACTCAGCTGGTCCTCAGAACATCATGATTGACGAACTTCTTTGCTTCGTTCAGAACAAGCTTGATACTTTACCACCAGATACCATTGTTCAGCTATGTGAGTCCACATTTAATGAAGCGGATGTAGAAGCATCAAAAAGGCTCCTATATGATCTGTGTGCTGGAGCTGATACTTCAAGATTTAAGAAAAGACTTGGGAGGAAAAAAACTCAACAAAACTTAGAAGACATAATCAAACTGATGCAAGAGAAGGGAACAGACGTCCCCTTGTTTGTAGCCCGTGATCTACAAAAGCTGCCTCCGGTTTCTTTTGACAGTCTTGATGTCTCCTGTCTGCTAAGCCAGATCAAGAAAACGCAGTCAGAGCTTGATTTCCTGAAGGACAGTATGACCGCCCAACAGTGCGCCGTGCAGTCGCTCACGGAAGTGGTCGGCCAGGTCAAGCTCCAGACTGATCAGATCGTGAGCAACCAGAGTAAGACTGCTGTGACTGACCATGACGTTGCTGGTGCAATGTCTGCTCCTGTCGTCACAGTAGCCTCTACTTCAGAAGCTACGACTTCGACCTCGACTTCCTCGACCTCGACTGCTGCGACTGACATCACTTCAGCGCATACAGCTACTGCAAGAGCTGCTGCTGCTGTTTCCGGGAGTCAGCCAGCAACGGTCGCGGCCCATGACTCGCGCAACGCTTCGAACAGCTCCAACGACAGTTCTCCTAGTAATAAAGCTGAAGTGAGAAGGGGAGCTACTTCATATGCAGATGTCGTGTCATCTACAGCTAAGCGGGAGGAGGAGGAGGACTGGTTGACGATGAGACGTGTAAACGGTAAGCTAAAACCGGTTCCTGTGACTAAAAATGAGACTGCAGCGTCACCCAGCGCTAGTCCTTCCACAGCTGTGGGGAGGGCAACCAACGAATCCTCTGGGAGCGTAACTGGCGCGGCGAAAAACACTGGACTGTTAACAGTGGACAGTAGGTCCCATAGGAGAGCGCACATTTTTGTGTCTAGATTCCACACGTCTGTGTCCCCTGAGATGGTCAAAACTTTCCTGATAGGAAAGCTGGGCGCAGATAGTGATGTTAGAGTTGAGAGCGTTCAAACTCGATATGACACTTACAGGTCATTTCGTGTCAGCTGCAGATGCGAGGAGCCAAACATGCTAATACAGCCAGACTTATGGCCCGAGAACACCTATGTGAGAAGGTGGCGTGGGCCGATCACAAACGCTCAAAACCGGGCCACCATCAGCCCAAGCTCCTCATCCGCATGAGATTAGCTAGTTTCAATGTTCGAGGTCTCCCCAAAACTAGTAAAAGCCTATCGTTACGCCCTGATGTTGTTGATGTATTAGAGTGCGCGGACATAGCATGTGTTCAAGAAACGTGGTATTCGAAGCAGGAGCTAGGTCACCTGAATAGTCTTCATGAAGAATTTTATGGTTTTGGTTGTGCAACAGTAGATTTTAGAGATGGTATATGCACTGGTCATCCGTCTGGTGGTGTAGCTATCCTGTTTCGGAAGTCTATGGCAGCATTTGCGAAACCTATTGACTTAGAATTAGACTGGTGCTGTGCCCTTGATATTTCTCTGCCCACAAAACGTCTCATCGTGTTTAATGTATATATGCCATTTCAGTGTCGTGAGAATACCGATAAGTATGCTGAACAGTTAGGAGTTTTAGAAAGTATCATCAGCGACCTTAACACCACATGCTTTCTAATTTTGGGTGACTGGAATGCTGATATGAAGGATTGTCACAATAGCTTATTTGGCCCTGCCTTAGTGCAATTTTGTGATTCTAACAGCCTTCATTTATCATCACAGGCGATGTTACCTGGTGACAGTTTTACGTATGTAAGCGACGCTTGGGGTACTCAATCATGGTTGGATCATGTTGTTGCCAGTAGCGATGCACATGCTGCTATTTCTGATATGGAAATTGGCGATCAGCCCTCATTAAGTGATCATTTGCCGCTATTGCTCAAAATGGATATCACACAGCTACCAGAGATGACTGCGGTTCAAAACGATGTGCAAAGTAGCACTAAGTGGGACCAGTTATCTCCTGAATCTCTTAAGATATACTCTGATAAATGTAAGGATTTGTTAACTGGTGTTGCAACTGATGCACCAGGCATAACATGTTCTGAACCGAACTGCACTTCAGAGGAACACAGGGCAGAGTGCATAGCGCTGTACGAACAAATATGTCACGCCCTTTTGCAGGCAGAAAATTCTGTAAACGATGCTAGGGCCAGAAAGTCTTTCAAATGTGTCCCTGGATGGAATTACTATGTTTCTGACCTGTACAAAGAATCAAAGGACCTGTATCGACTTTGGCAAGAAGCAGGGAAACCTAAGCATGGCCCAGTGTTTGATGCCTACAGCAGAGGCAGGGCCAGGTGTAAGTATGCCATTCGTTTTGTTAAGAAAAATGAAAATGTTCTGAGACGTGAAGCCATCGCCAAAAAGTTATGTGACAATGACTGTAAATCTTTTTGGAAAGAAATAAGATCGCTGAGTAACAGTAGTACTCCCCTACCATCAGTGATTGATGGTGTGTGTGGTGAGGGTGAGATTGCTGACTTTTGGGGGAAACATTTCTCCAGCCTTCTCAATTTGATGCCGTCATCAGATGGTACGCTCTGGGAAGAGGACAGGGAATCGTCTGTAGGTGATATCAGAGTGTCCGAAGGCGAGATTCAGGATGCTGTCCAAAAAATGAAGTGTGGGAAAGCTAGTGGGATTGATGGTTTACAGGCCGAAAACTTGAAATATGCGGGGAAAAGTTTATTGTCAAAGTTATCCGCTTGCTTCACAGCACTACTTATGCATGGCATTCTCCCAGAATCAATGATGGCGGTGGTCCTGGTGCCGATTATCAAGGATAAAGCTGGTAAGGTCACTGCAAAAGATAACTACCGACCTGTTGCGCTAGCTAGCGTAATGAGTAAAGCGCTAGAACTAATCCTTTTGGAACGGATAGAGGACCACCTGTTGACAGCCTCCAATCAGTTTGGCTTCAAAAAGGGAATGGGAACTGACCAGTGCATATACCTCCTGAAACAGTCTATTGATCTGTACAAGTCCATGAATGGCAGTGTATTTATGTGTTTCTTGGATTCAAGCAAGGCATTCGATCGTGTACAGCATAAAAGGCTTTTCGACATTCTTCGAGATAGAGCAGTCCCAATATACATTGTTCGTGTACTTGTGTACTGGTACGCCCGTCAGGAAATGTGTGTCCGGTGGGGTGGTGCCATTTCCTTTAAATTTAGGGTATCGAACGGCGTTAGGCAGGGTGGCATATTGTCCCCATATCTGTTTAATGTGTATATGGACGGTCTGAGTTCCTTGTTAAATAGACAGAATGTAGGTTGCTGGGTAGGGGATGCGAAAATCAATCATCTGATGTACGCAGATGATGTGGTATTGTTATCACCGTCGGTTGCAGGGTTGAGCAAACTGATTTCATTGTGTGGAGAATTCGGAAAAACTTGCAATATTTTGTACAATGCAAAGAAAAGTGTTGTACTGGTTTGTCGCTCTAAACACATGAAAGATTTGATATTGCCAAGGCTGTTCATTGAAGGTGTTCCTCTAAAGGAGGTTGATCATGTAAAATACTTAGGGCATATCATCAGTAATCATGCTTACTCAGATGACCTTGACATAGATCGGCAGTGTAAACAAATGTACAAACAGGGGAATGTGCTGATTCGTCGTTTTCACATGTGCTCGGTAGCAGCAAAGGCGCGTCTCTTTACAGCGTTTTGTTCATCTATGTACACTGCACACTTGTGGTCAAATTATCGCCAGTGTATGTTGCGCCGGCTGATGGTGGCTTACCATACGGTATTGAAAACTATGCTAGGCATTTCTAGGTACGAGAGTTCTTCTCACACATGTGTCGTGCACCGTGTTCCTCATTGTGCTGTTCTCATCAGACAGCGCATCTATAACTTCATGTGCAGGCTGAGTACATGTGATAGTGAGCTGGTAAAAAAGACTGAAAATTCGAGTGTAAAATACCGTTCACGCCTGAGGCGCCACTGGCAACAGCAACTGTACGTTCATTTTAGCACATAGCTCTGCGAGAGTGCTGAAACAGGCCCGAATGATTGTTTGTGTGACATTTGGTTGTCTTGCCACTGCACTGGCTGAAATCCTCAGTATTTAAGAGTATGGACCCAGAGTCTGAAATAAAGCTTATCTATCTATCTATCTATCTATCTATCTATTTGAACTTTGACTTTGATGTTTGTCGCTGGCATGCCGCCCGATCCCCCTGTTCCTTCGGTGCCGACAGTCTGCCGTCGGTGGCGGTCCGCTGTCGACGATATCGTCAGCGACTGTCGGCGGGAGCTAACCGATCAGCAAACCCGCGGTGGAGAGGTCCCGGCGCCGGCCACGAG